CAACTGGCCTTTCATTTCCCACCACCTCAAACTCAAAGCTCAGGGATGGCAGTTTGCAAAACACAGAGCCCACTTCTACTCCAGACTAGCCACCCACAAACGACTTTTCCGACGCCTTCGACAACGCCAGTACACCCTCAGAGAACCACACCTCTACACTTCCACTAAGCATCACGCCCTCCAACTTCTTCGCAACCTTACCAAACACACCGCAGCCTCTTTTGAGGCAGCAAAACAGATAAGAAGCGGCCGCCACACGGACCTCGAGGTGTATGCAATCCGGCGTATGGCCGCAAATTTGGAGGAACCTGGCCGCAGCCGAGCTCTTCACATCCTCAACAAAGCCTTGATCTACCGCAACCTCACGCCACCTAAGCCAAACATCCCACTGACAGTGCCCTTCTTGGCCCATGACGACTTCACCAAGCACTGCCAACAATGGCTTCGTACCACCATCCAGCAGCACAAGCATTTCACCATTCCCCTCCACCTCCCCTCCCACAGACTGAGGGAAGCCGCCCACAAAACCCTCCGCTCCCACCTGCACAACCACCGCACATGGGAGGACACCCTCCACTCCCCGCCAGATCCAGCAGACCTCCCCTGTGCATGCGATCATCTTCGCACCCTCCTGCGGGATCCCGATACCCCTACCATCAATGGCCACTACATCCTTACACTTGACCAACTCCAACTCCCTACACACCTCAGCATTTTCCTCAACGCCAATATGAACAGCACCTATTACCCAAGCAAAGCTCGTTATTTCCTCATCTTCACGACGGCCTACACCAAATGGCTCAAACTACAGGGGCTTCCACCATCCCTAGCTCAACACCTACCGCCTTTCCTTGAGCACCAATGGCGCCTTCACAACACACACCTCAAGCAGCAACCCCGTTTTACGGCCCGCCTGCTTCGTCAACTCCAAGAACATTTGGGACAACACACATTACTCCACCATGCCGACCATGAGCTCCAACAACTCCGGCTGTTTTGCCCTCGCCAATATTTCACTGGCGCCTTGAACACCTGGCAATCCCCCGAACTTTTCGAACCACTTCCCTACATCACTGCCGCCAATATCCACGACCACCTGGCCGCCACTGTCCCCCCCCATTTTGCGCACTCGCTACAAGTGGGGCTTCCGAAAAGACTTCAACATTCCATACGGCGTTGTCCACCTAAAAGAGAAGAAGCACTGGCAAAAAGGCCGTACAATTATTTCATACTTCCAATCACTCAGTGGTAACTTGCTTCGCATCACCAGCCGTGCCCTTGACATCATCCTCCAACACCTCTACCCTCAACATCCCGGCCAAATGTCCATTCCCCAGCTTTGGCACCACTTTCACAGCTACCTTACCCAAACACCACCAGACATCTCACTACACGCCACTAACGATGACCTGGTCGGCTTCTTCAACTCAGTCCCACAGCACCGACTCATCGATGCAGTGCACTCCCTCGTCCACCACTGGCAACAACAGCAACCCACACACACCTTGACGGTGGATGTCCAGGCCACCGGCAATCCTTTCCACCACTCACACATTGGCAGACACCATCGGAAACACCCTACCCAACGCACTATCCAAACTTCCGACATTACCACCATCGTGGCTTTTGCCCTCAACACATGCATTTTCCGGGCTTGCAACAATACTTACAAACAAATCCGAGGGGCCGGGATTGGATCCCAGCTCTCTCCAGCCCTATGCAATGTTGCCATCACCCTCATTGAGCACTCCTAGCATCAGATCCACAACAACCTCCTTCAACACACAGACCTCTACTTTACTTACTATCGATATGTCGACAACCGCTTCATTGTCCACAACGAACATTTCCTTCAACACCCGGCTATCCAAACCCTCATCCACCACAATTTCTTTGGCGACCCAGTTGAACTCGAACCGGTGGAGGATTTTCATCTCCTCGGTTTCAACATCGACCTCCCACAACGCACCATCACCTACATGCAACCTTCCCAACCCTGGAAAATCCGGGACTCCACAACCGCCGGGAGCCAGCGCTTGGCTCTATCAGGCCTCCAATCAAGACTCCACACCATTCGAAAATACACATTCCCACCCTCCAGCGCTGACGTTGCTGCGGCTGAACTCGTCAACCTATATGTCCAAAAGGGGCATAACTACCACGCCTGCCACCGGTTTTTGAAAAAAGCGCCGACTGCGGCGACCTGTGTGTGTCCCACCCTGGACAAAGGGTCTCACCCCACCACTTTCACACAGGCAGGGGGGCAGTGATCCCTTCAGCAGCCACTGCCTAACAAAGACGCTGCTGATCGGATGTGATATTCGGAGAGGACGCTCTCCGAACGTACCTGCCGAGTTTTCCACACGCTGTCACCCTACTCTTCCACTTTTTGATTCATGGTCCTTCATGTTTCCACCCCATAAACATTCGTCCCCAGCAGCTGAGCAGCCAGTTCGCTTTTCCGCCGCTTGCGAGTGCCAACATTGTTCAACAATACTGTTTCAGCTGACCTTTCCACCTTGCTGTTCCATCGCCTTCCTTCCCAACGTGGCAATTGCATTAACTGAAAATCCAAGTTCGAAGTGTGTCAAGAATTCTCTGAGAAAGATGAGAAAGCAGCTTTGAAGATAATGTGCAGAATGTGTTGTGGGTGCCTTGTCGCCCGTCGCCATGGACTGACGCCCAGCCCCTGCAAAACTCTCCTGGCAGGAGACTCCAATCAGATCACGGCCGCACCCCTGGCATTTTTTCCTTTGCATGAGCATATAGTTGAGCCCTCAGCGTATCTAATATTCTTGCGTCTTGCGCTCTTCTGGATATCAAAATCAGCTAGACTTCAGCATCTGCCGCTGGTCCTACCGAGACCTCCACCGAGACCTCCACATGGATGAACATGGCTACAAGATGCTATAAGTATTCGTGTGTTTCTTTTTTTTGTGGGCTCATGTCCCAGTTTTTCGGTTCTGGATCATGGTTATCGCCCATGGATTATATAATTGATTGATTGCCTTGACATGCCAGGCCCACCATCATGGCAGTGGACAACACTTGGGGAGGTTTTTCTTCCAACGAGGGCGTTGCTGCCATCCGTTCCGCATCCCAAACGCCCTCGGGTCTGCACGAAAAAAAACAGAAACACACCTCCAGACACTCCATGACAACTGGAATATATGCCGCCCCCATTGACCCCCGACTTCAACCACTCCAACTGGATCGGTCAATATGGCACACACACCAGGAACCGGATGACAGGCTTGTTGGAGACCGGCAACAGGTGGTTTTCACCTGGGCACCAGGCGTTTTTTCCAGGAAACACCTGGCCAAGTCTGGTCCGGGGCTCACGCCTGGTTCGTGGCGACCGGCTTCCCCCCCAACGCCGCGCCCGTTGGCCGCGGAGCGGTCGACCGCTCCCAAGGCACGACGTCGTTGTGGCCGAGTCCTGGAAGCACGCCGGTCACGGAGCACAGACCTTCCATAGCAATTCCTAGACTTCCGTAAGACCATTAGAAGAGCTCGGGAAAGACCTGGTGATGTAGTGTAATTAACATCCACTAGTTGGTTTCAGGGGCCTGGAAGCCTACGGCTCAGACGGGAACAGATGGTACAGCACCGGGTTTGTCCTGGTAAAACTGCAACAGTCGGGAAACAATTGTCTCTGCAACCTAACCATCATCATCCACTGGGCCCTGGTAATAGACCCAGTTCAGCTACAGACCAAAAGGGCCAAAAGAGATGTGGTCCTCCTAACTCGCCAACAGGGCTTCCAAGCAGTGGCCAGGCTGGGAAGTGTCCGAACTCCACTAAAGCAATGCTGCGCTTGGGGTGAACTGGGAGGCCAGGTTTGCTGTAGCATGGCTTCAGAGGGGGGTTATGGGGATACCGCCTTCAGATGGACCTCATGACCCTGAACATGTCGTGTCACATCGAGCGTGTTCCATTTCGACCAACCCAGTCTGTTTTGAGACCAAGTGGTCCGCCCTGCATGAGACTTCGGACCATTGGTTCGAGTGGACCGGATCAAAGAGGCCGTCGGGCCATACAGGCCTCCAACTACGGGGCGGTTTGCAGGAGAGTTTGGAGGGATTGGAGTTGATGGTACCCAGAATAGTCACCTGCATGGATGGGTCATAAATAATATACTTATATAGATATGTATATGACTATGCCATACATGGATGGTTTGGGATAGACTGCCACATGCCACAGATTCGTCAAACAGTTCATATCCTCGACTCGCGCTGGCAAGAAATTCTGTTCAGACATACTTACGGCCTTTCGGTGGGATGTTTTGATCTTCAAAAGCCATCTCCAAAGTCACGTTCACTTACAGTACTTCCTGACCCTGCCTCACTGAGTTTAGCCTTGTAGTCGTGACAATGGCTCCATGAATTTGAATGGGTGTCCTGAGGCCCCGCGTGGTGCCGGCCCTCACCAGTCATGAGACACATCAGTTTGACATGTGTATGTATGTATGTATGTATGTATGTATGTATGTATGTATGTATGT